AAACTTAGAGCGCTGGTGATGCCATATTTTAAAATTAAAAAGTAAATAAATAGCAATTGAAAGCTCTAGTTTCTGAGTACGTTTGTGTAATAACCTAACAAAAAAAAGTTAACGACGAAAATTTTTAAAAATTAGAAAATAAATGTAAAACCATAAAGGCATAGAAAATTATTATAATTCTATACTAATTTTGTAAATCATATACAATTAGATTAATTTTACTAATTAGCATTATTACTCTCATTAAATCTGCCAAATGTTCGTAAAAGTTTTCAGTTGCATATATAAGCAGACTTTAATTTATATAATATAGATACATTATTAAACAAAATCTGATGTGTACACCACATGACTTCCTTGTACGGAATATTAAATTATACGCATTTTTTCTTGCATTTTATTTAAACTTATCTGATTGAATTAAATCTACTTCGTCGATAACGCATAAACCACAATAGAATAAATGCAATCTTTAAAATTTACTATATTTGTTTACCATAAGGACACTCTGACGCTAAGTTCCCTTAACAGCGTTACATTTCATTCAGAATGCACAAAATTTATATTATCTGAAGAATTATCTAATCGTTGCCACATGTTCTATTCAAATAAATGTAAAGCGATGTATAAAAAAAATTAAACGAACAAAAAAAAAAAAAAAAAAAGAAAGAAAGAAAGAAAGAAAGAAACAGTTTTTCACAGGTAATTCAGTATTTCTCATTCAATTAATTCAATCTTCAGTTCGCAACAAGGCAAAAATAATAAAACTGAAAATATCTGTACCGAAAATTATGAAGTAAATCTTAAACACTTATTTGATCGAATAAATTGCAGAATGGATTAAACATGATTTAATTCGCAATAATAAAAGAAGGCGCTATCTTTGTTATTTCGAAGCTTACTTTCTCTAGATTGGCAACAAATTTATATTCTGCTGTTTCAAATGTCAATAAATATGGCCACCTTGGTTAAAATAATTAGGCTTAGCGGCATATAAACGACTTTTAAATTGTTGGTAATTGTAAAAATATTCCATGCAGATTTACTAAAGGCATAAAAACCTTAACCGCAAGATAAGAACAACATAATTCAATCATTTTTAAAGCAAAAAGTGCACAATTTACAAACATATAAGAATAAAGAAACTGAGATTACTGAGCCAAGTAACAGAGTGGATATTAATATACATATATTTTTATACTTTTGGCTCGATCGATTGCAACCAAAATATGAGGTACACATTTACATATTATAGCAATCTCATATACAAAATTTCAACGTTCCGAGGCTACTCGTTTTTGAGTTATGCGAGATACATACATACGTACGTACAGACACCGAAAAATTCTCTTCAGAATTCATTTTAAATCAGTTTATATATATATATATATATAGATATATATTATATATATTTATTTTTTTTTTTTTTTTTTGGTGGAAAAGAGTCTTTTATTCTATCCTTACGTACATATGTCACGCAAAAACGTCGTTAAATTGCATTCGATAGCGGTCAAAATGGATATTTTCGTTGAAATACGATGCATGAAAATTTTCGCGATTACAATACTTCCTTTTTACTTCGTAGAAGGAAGTAAAAAGGAGAATAATGAAATTTGAAAATATGAACTATTTAACCTTAGCGGACGACTTTTTATTAAACAACTGCAGTAGTGTAGAACAAATTTTAGGCGGAAAGAAAAATGGAGCTAACGAGCGTACATTACCGCACTGAGATTTTCTATGGTTTTAAAGTGGGGTTATGTCAAGAAGAATGTGTTCAACTTCTATAATTAGCATTTGGAAATGAAGGACTATGTCGTAGTACTGTGTTCAGATGGTTTACAGAATTTTATAGAGGTCGCAGCCTCTCTTCAAGATGAAGAACACAGGAAAGCCATTGTCAATAGTAATCTCGGATAATGTGTTTGTCATACGGAAAATGAAAATCGATGATAATCATTCCCATAATTAACTGAGCACCAAAAAGAAGAGTTCCAGAATCACTAAAGAAACCCTTAAATTAGTTGAAGATGGTGGTCACAGCATTATTTCTAAAATCGTAACTGGTCATGGAATGTACATATCATTTTTTGACGTTTCAACACGTAAAGAAGGTAAATTATGAGTCTTTCAACACGTAAAGAAAGCAAATTATGAATCTTTCAAGTAAACAAAGTAAATTTTTTCTTTGAACATTGTAAGATTTATCTTAATTTTTCTAACAGTTAATTTTTAGTTAAAAGTTATTTTCCTATCTTCCTGAATTCCAGCTTATAACTTCCGGCCAGAACGTATTTTCAGAATTGCGGTTGAATGCAAGTGAGGAGAAGAAGTATTCAACTGCGAAGTTCTACTGACTTCGTCAGAGAGCCAGAGATTCTGACTAGGGCGCGTTTGCCTTTTTAGGCTACTCTCTCTCTCTCTTAAGCTATTATTACGCTCAGCCGTACTTTAGGCCCTTGATAGCTTCACAGTTAGTTAGCGTTAAGAGACCAACTATGTTAGAATTTTGATAGCTTTAGCTATATCTTTTTATTTAAGTTTTATTGATTATTATTATTGAGTTCAAACCCAAGTGGAGGCTTTATTGTAACTCCAAGCTGGAGTCGATTATTAATCTTTATTTGGAATAATAAAGGGTAATTAACCCTTCTCGAGTTTCTGCTCTCTGTCTACTGAACTAAAGTGATTTTTCGCTTACCTGTTCTTAAGGCTCCTCAACTTAAGCTGTAGATTAAAACATAGGAATCTTACGAGGTGATCCCACGCCCCCAATGGTGAAAAATAAGGAACTATATAAAAACGTAATGCATGCCTTTTTCTTCAGAAGTACAGAACTGGTCAAAGTCATCAAGCTGGAAGGACAGATGACAGTCACAGCTAACTGTTACACCACTGTCTTTTAGAAATTCTTCATGAAGTGAATGTTACAGGAGCATACCATGACAATGCATCATCTCATTCAGCAAGATTGACAGTTGAGTTTCTTGAATAAAACACTTCAAAGGTATGGAATATCCCCCCTATTCATCCGATCCAGCTATATGTGGCTTTGGACCGCTTTTTAATCTTAAAAAGAACTTACGTGGACGTCGTTTTCCTACCGAAAATGAGATTGATGATGCTATAAATGTTTGTTTTCTGCGATTCCCAGAAATAAATAGCTTGAGGAAATTAATCTTTGGAAAATTCCCCTACAGAAGTGCATTGATGCTAAAGGAGACTACTTTGAACACTCCCTAAAATTTCGTAAGTACAATTTTAAAAATTCATGTGTATCTGAAAAATTTCAGAGTGACCCTCGCGTGTATGACATAGCTTCTAAACATATGCCGATGTGTTTCTTTTGAAATGTTTGTGATTTTGGTGTTGAATTGTATATAGCATAAGTGCGAAGAAAACGCTGCTTAATGAACCAAAAATGAACCAACAAATAAAAAAAATTAAAAAAAAAAAAAAAAAGACTTTAGATTTCAGATTTTATATTGCTCCCAAAGAAACTTTACCCCCTCCCATTTACACGCACATACACGTTTTGTGAGCATTTAGGCTAAAAATATTTACAAACAGCATATCCTTAGAATTTCCGATAGACAGTCTGGCGCGTTGGAGATAAAAGTGTCTTATTCCTCGCCACTGTTCGCTCTGAAATCTTTGAGTATTTTATTCAAAAAGTCTTTTAAGTTTTACAAAATATAATATAAAATATAATAAAACAAGTTCAAAATTCATAATTCGGACTTCCAGGTGCCCATGTTTGGTTTGAGGACTACGTTATTCAAAATTTGATGGCTTTAGGTACCGTTGTTTTTTTACAATGTGAAAAACATACATTCATGAAAATTCTTCATTAAATTTCTTTAAATATAATAAAGGGCGATAATATTTGGCGGCAAGAATTTAAAAAATGATACGCCTTTTATAGTGAAACGCCACAAAATGCAGTTTTGAGGCAAGTAGCCCTTTTGAGCTAACATTCCTTTGGACTAATAAATGAATAAAAAAAAGAAAAAGAAAAAATCTGAAAGCTTTCGGGTTTTATAGTGTAGAGATATTAGGATTATTTTTAAACAGGAGATATGAAAAATATGCAATGCCTTCGCCGGAAATCGAACCTGGACCTCAAGGAAAACAACTATGCTATATTAACAATTATTTTTTTATATTAACAATTATTTGCAATTGTATTATAATATTAACAGTTAATTGACCATTTAACTCAGTTGTACTAAAATCTCATTCTTTAAGTTAGTATAATCTTTATATTTATTTGATAAAACACGATATTAAGAGTTAGAGATTTACTAAGTTCAGTAGAGATCATACATAAAATTAAGTAAAAATATGTCTTAGATTGGAAATCGACATTGCGGAAATATTTGTTGATTTTAAGGAAATCGGGCGACGAAGTCCCTATTTTCTTCAAAAAGCAAAAAGGTAATTTTGACTCGAAATTGATACAGTCATTTTTTTATAAAATAAATTCTAAAAATTAGGAAGATTTTTACTTTATTTCAGACTTGACATAGCGTGCGTCTCTTCAGTCATTGGTTTCTATAGTTAAAATTACTTTAGAAAAAATTATCATTTTTGCAAAAGAAAAGGAAACTTTTCGAAAGCGTAGAATAAACGGAATTTTATATTATTTCAGAAAATGCTTTATGGTGCTCCTCTCTTTTTTTAACACTTCCTGAACAAGAAACTAAATACTGAAAGTTTACAAAAGTAATTATACGAACAAACTACTGTAATATCTTACACAATTTATATTACAGTCATCGGAGTTAATTACTTCCTCTAAATCCTGTTCTACCTGGTGACCGCAACGCTTATTACCTTTCACCATAGCAATCATTACCACCTAAGGTCATTCTTCTACGAAAGTGCTCTGAATCAGTTTGCTTTCTTTCGTACAGATGGCGCCACACAATCCATTTTCGAAACCATGGGCAAGTGAATTATTCATCGGCTGACTCTCTTCACTTGTTGCTTTTCGCAGCTTGGGTTCATCTACCAATCGCGCCTGGGGAAAAGCAGTTAACTTTTCGCCTTTCAATCGCGCCTGCGTCGAAGATTTCACGCACTTGGCAGAACTTTTCTTCCCGCGGTTACCGTTACTTCACCGGCTCATAGAGACGCGGACCTGCGCTGCTACTCGTGCGCAAGGATTTTTTTCTCGCTGGCGGTGAGTTCGGATTTTTTAAAAAATATGTCTGCACTGAAATAATGAATGCCGAAATTACTGGTTGCTATATTTTAAGTAACAAATTTAGAAGATATTTTAGAGACTAAAAAAAAAAAAAAAAAAAAACAAGCTAGTCTTAGCTATAAATTGTTTTAACATCTTGGAAATCCTTCATCTGCATACAAGTTGATATATGTAATTATGTTGGAGCATCATATATGCTGCAGCGCTATTAAAGTTGAAGGATACAGAAAGAACAGCATTTTCTAATTTCATTCTGAGTTAATTTTTCATGCTTCGTGAATAAAAGCCGTGAAAAGGAAATTTTATCCACTTGAAGAACTTTCGCTTTTTTTTAAACCAAGAACATGTAAGGAAATTTGAGATTTTATAAAAGTATCCAAATTCTAAGGGAAAAACATATCAGAGTTTTATCTTCATGCACATTTAGGTGGCATATGAAAATTTAGCGCGTTTGGAAAATTGAGAATATTCCTTGAAATTCCTGTGGTAGAAACTTCAGCAGTGGAAGCATTATCAAAATTCGGTAGAAGCAGCAAGTTTATTTGACATACGTGTTACTTTCCATTACGAAAATGATATTTTTTCCTCCTGAATTTACAGAATCCAATTTGACGCCCTAAGGATTAATCTTCCATGAAATTCTCTGTATATGTTATCCTTGTTCAAACACAAACTACGAAGTGAAGCATATAAAATAGCCATAAATTTAATTCAGTGTTTTCTGTTCTGAGCTATACTCTCGGGAACTTGCTGTGGTAACCAGACAGAGAAGGAACATTGTCGATGAGAGGTGATCTGAAGACCAGCATGATGCCAGTGGCTCCAGCAGCCATGTTGCCTCCACATAGAACGACCTCTTCTAGTAAACCCAAATTGGGTTTTTCCATAGAGTCTATTGTTGGCCTTCAAGCAACAACCAGGAACAAGGGTTCTGCCTCTCCTGAAGATGATGATCGATGTTCTGATGGTGAAGTGACAACCATCACTCCGCCACCAGCTCATACTCATAATAAAATGCCAACATCAAGTAGTCCTCCTTATTATAGGACTTCTAGTGAGGACATTTATTCCAATTACAGTCACTACTGCCCCCCAAGGGTTCTGCCAACAAGGACCTCGGACTATACTCATAGAGGTGATCTTGTGCAACCTCAAGCAAGCGGGCCTCTTGCTTATCCTTCTGTGATGTCTCACTATGGTTCAGCATTGTCTTTAGGCCACTGCCATGGACAGTACCCATTAGCTTCATATCTGGTCAACAGAGACTATCCTGCATATCCCTGGGTGATGGCAAGACAACCCAGGATTTTACCATACAGGCCGCAAGGTAAGCTCAAAAATGTTTTATTTTGATTTTGAATGGTATCACAAAACTATAGCTTGTAATTTATATTTTTTTAATTAACAGTTCGTGTGCTGAACTAAGTTTTCAGGACTCAGAATAATTAATCCTTAGCTCAATATCTTCGTACATAATAGCAGTTAAAATCAACAGTAGCACGTGTTTATCTATAAGAATAGTAAAAATGATACTCTGTCGGTTTTAGCTACGTTGTCGGCTAGTCTTTGCGCATGTGCATCATTCTCTTGTTTCCTTCTGTTTTATTTACTCTTAAATTTCAAGATATAAGATTCTAAGTTGCTTCTGATATCTTAATTATCTTGAAAGAAAGCGGAAGTAAATGTAAATTCAGCCTTTGGAAATAACGGGCCTTTAAATGCGTTTCTCTCGAAACAAGAGGTTTGCCGATTCGCAGTTCTGGCGACAATGGATTTTCGATTCTAGGGAGGGTTGAGAGGAGAATGTTATAAAAATTAAGTGTTTAAAGTTCGTAAAAGAAAAGCAACATTTCTGAAATCAAATCCCCTAACTCAAGTGTCGTAAACAAGAAAGGGAAAAGTATTCTAATCCGCAAACCGAAAGCTGATAAAAGTACGTGTGTTACGAATGTGACTACCAAAATTTGCAAATTTTTCTTGCTGTAAATTGCAGTAAGTCTTCTTAAAATCTCTTGAAATAAATTATTTATTTATTTTGAGTTTTCTTGGAATAAATTTAATTTACTATTCAATTAAAGTTATGAATTATTTTGAATACAAGATTCAATTACTCATGGGTAAGGTTTTGCACTTAATTACAGCATGCTTCTTCGAATGTAATAAATTACTTATGTACGTTAAGAAAGTAAAATTGATATATATGTACTTTATAGAACTGTAAGTGAACTATAGTAGTGTTACTAGTTTATTAAAGGGACTAAACGTTAAAGTGAACGCTTTAATCAAATGATTGAGATCGGTAGGTATCGTGTTAAGGTCTTGTAAACAGGTTTAGTCATATATTGACTCTGCTCTAAACTTTTAATCTGATACCGAAAATAGATTTCCATCGTATAAATAAACCTTTTTTAAAATTATCTAAATAAATACATTTGAAATGTTACTAAATGTACTTTACTCTTATTCATAATGTATTATTTTCAGAGTTGCTTCGAAAAACATTTTTTCTTTCCCCTATTTGTGCATTTATCTGTGTATTGCGCAAAGTCATCATTCGGTTTTTGTTGCTTACGGTAAATTATAAAAATGAGTATCACAATATTTCATATTATGAAAAATCATAGCATTTCATTTTTCAAAGTAATAAATAAAACATAGGAAGTAAATTCTAACGAATTTTTAAGCAACTGAATTCGGAAATCATTATTTATATAAATGTAAAGTATTACAACTTTTGAATTGTACATTCATTTATGATCCGCGTTTTGCCACAGCTGGTTTTATGATAATATCTTTACAATTTTTGGTATTCATAAGGCATTGGCATTCCTTGAATGAATAACTCTTTAATAGCAAGATTGTTAGTTAATTTTTTTTAATATCTGGGAGAACTTAATGTTTTGAAGAATTTAAATACACATCTCCTTTTGCGTTTATCTTGTTCTTTCAAATACATTCAATTATTAGATAAATTATTGACAAATCCTAAGTTAAAATTTCGCTTTCTAAATGTCCTTTATACAATCGGTAAAAATTAAACAATCTTTCGAAACAGAAACGCACTCGATGAAACGAAAACCATTTTAAAATTTGTTTGGAAAAAAACTTTGCTTTTTCTGATATTCTGATTATTTGCGATCTGAAAGCATTTATTATCGCTTTACCATGAAATGAAAACATATCTTTTACACTTGACTTAGGACCAAATATCTCATTTGGTGTTAAAAGGAACTTCTTGGATCATTTTTACAGACAAATAAATATATAAGTAAATATTGCAAAATCGAGGAACTGCTAAACTTTCTGTTTCAGAACTGTTACTACGCATCAAATTTGAGCAGTTCTGAAGTTTTTTTTCACGAGAGCAAGGGGCTAAATTTATGAGCAATTGTAAAAGACTCTGTGTTTGTTTAAAAATACTATGAATCTTCCTATACTGCCCACTTCTCCTACACACGTGTGAAAGCGACCAATAATTCTTAGACTGTAAATAAATATCGACATTAAATATATCCTTTTTAAAGTTACCACTTCCACACAAGATCAGAAGTTACTGGAATCGCTAGGCTGTCTTAGGGAGATTTCTTTCTTTTCATATTTTACGAATATGTAAAAAAAGAATCACATATATAAATAAAATCAAGAAAAAAAGAAAAGAAAATCTGAAAGGTTCCAGATTTTAAATTACCTCCAAAGAGGTGTTTTTTTAACGTTTTGTGTGTTACCTTTATTTATTACATATCATGTTCTTTACACTTAAACCATAAAATTTAATTCAATAGCAATATCGCATAATAATTTAAAAATGAGCATATCTTAAGATCGAATCCGATATCTTGTATCGGAAATTCTTAATTTCCGATACACAGTCTCTCGCGCTTGGAGATAAAAATGTTTCTTTCCGTAGTGTTGCCATTGCTCGCTTTGAAATCGTTGAGTTTGTTAATCAAAAATTCGTTAAAGTTTGAAATAGATAATAAAACAAATTCGAAATTCAAAATTCAAGCTTCCAAGTGCCCATGTTCGGTTGGAGGACTACGTTATTCAAAATTGGATGGCTCTATGTACCATTGTTTTTTCACAATGCGAGAAACATAGTTTCTTTAAATATAATACATGGTAAATATAATACATGATAATATAATACATAGCTGATGGCAACAGTTTGAAAAGTGAACCAATGCAAAAGGTGAAAGGGCGCAAAATACCGTTTCGAGATTAATAGCCCTCTGGGTCTAACGCCCCTTTGGAGTAATAAATCAGATGTATTGCAATTCTGCCTTAATATATATAGTTTCTCTGTTATGAGGATTAAGAAAACATCAATGAAATAAATTAAATGCTTCTTCTTGGGTTAATAAGAAAACATTTTTAGTATATTTGTACAGACATACAACAGCTTAATTACGTCTAAAATATATCTTTCTGCAATATTATTATTCGAGACACCAGATCCGGTAAAAAGGAATTTTCATTGGAGCATTTTATATTCTCCGAATAAAAATTCGAATTTTAACTAAGAATTCTGTTTTGCTTTTTTAACCTGAATCTACAAAACCTTAACCAAGTACTAATTTTGTTTTTATTTTCCCTTAAATTTCATTGCTGGGAAAATTTACCCATTTTAAAATAATTTTAATATTTTATTATTTTAAAAATTAACTAATGTTACTTTTTGTTCCTTTTCTTATATGACATTTAAAGTATAATTTTCTCTTAGTGTTTTAAATTTCTTAAATTCAGAACACCGCAGTGGTTTCCACTTTTAAAATTAAACGAAAATTTGGGAAAGTTACTGTTATTTTTCATTCGCCATGTGGCCATGGTTTTCATAAATAAAAGTTCTTTGTCGCTAAGTAAAATTCCATTAGCCTAGATATCTGCTGTATAAATTAGGCTTAGAATTTCTTCATCGTAAACAGTAACTCAAATTTTTATCCAATTTAAAAAATTCTCCAAATACTACTCAGAAATGAAAAATATATATATATATCACTTCATTTTCTCTCTCTCTCTTCTTTTTTTTTTTTTTTTTTTACTTTCTCGTTCTTTAATATCAAAACACTTAATTGAATTGAAGAAATGTTACTTTATAAAATATTGCTTTCTAACTAGTGAATAGTATTTTTCGCTTCCAGATTGTAATATCTTTTATAAATAAATACTTGCAGTTTTCCAAAATTCCTAGAGGATTAAATAGAAACGTTTAAAACTGCTCTTTTACATTCTTTCTGAAGTACTTGTCATTTTTCAATCATCATAATTGAAGCAGTTGTGATGTTTTCCTTTTACCCTATTGCCGAGAAATAACATAATTTTCATTATGTGCTGCATTAAACTGATAAAGCTGTAATTTTTAAGTCGAACTAACATTTACATAACTCTGCCTTTTCTCGCAAATTATGCTAAAAACTGTACCATATTTATTTTTCCCACACCCATCTTATTTTTCCACTTACAGTTTTAATGGCTAAATTGAGCATTTATAATGGTAACTCAAAAGCGAAATAAATGCATGTATAGATAGAATCCTAGCATTTATACTGAAACTCATTGTTTAGCAAACATATAAAGAAAGCAATGAATTTCTAAATAAGAAGCTTCTAACTAGAAAAAGTTTAACTTTGCATTTTTGATGTTTTCTTAAATGGCAGCGGGGAAAAAACATTATTTCGTTATTTCCTATATTGTTGTGTCTTATCTTGCAAGCAAATGTATTTTGTACTGTAGAAATGATGCACCTTTAAAATTTACTGAATTCTGTTTTGTTAATTTAAATTTTAAAGATTAAAAATAAAGTCTAAAAAGTTTTAAAAGAGATAAATGTATGTGAAATAACATCCAAAAATAGAAATCTCTCTTTCGCAAACTGTTTCAGCTTGCTAAAAATGATCGAATGGGTAAGCCCATCATCCAGCAGTATCTAAAGCTGAAAGTTACTGTGCAATGTCGAAAGGGTCCATCTTTGTTTACACTTACTACTTGCGGACCAAACTAAATGTTCGTTTCTCTCTTATTTATGACGTAAGTAAGATACATTTCTTGCCGAAAATATTTCACATTAGATACATAATTTAGAATATTTTGACTTAATTAATAAACCAACCAACCACCTGTTAAATTTACTAATATGCTCCGGATTTTCATAGAATAACCCCAATTATCAATTTGTTTTTAAATTGTTTTATTAAGCACGATTTTTATTCGCAATTATGCCTTTCTATCGCACTTTATCGATGAAAATTTTCAAGGTACCTGATATAAGTCTCACCATCGTTCTTAAACATTGCCTGAAGATGATACTGCCTATGGACAACCGAAACAACA